CTCGGCCTCCCAAAGTGCTGGGATTACAGGCTTGAGCCACCGCGCCCGGCGATGCTCCTATTCTTAATCTTTTCGGATCAGACATAATCTCCCCCACTGCCATCTAATAAACCTCTCACCAATTCCTAGCATGCACGCATGCTCGCTCCCTCCCTCTCTCTCTCTCTGTGTGTGTATATATATATATATATATATATACATATATATATATACACACACATTTTTTTTTTTAACAGTTTCACTCTGTCACCCAGGCTGGAGTGCAATGATGCGATCTCAGCTCACTGCAACCTCCACCTCCCTGATACAAGCATTTCTTGTGTCTCAGCCTCCCACTGGGACTACAGGCACACACCACCATGCCCAGCAAATGTTTTGTATTTTAGTAGAGATAGAGTTTCACTATATTGCCCAGGGTGGTCTCGAACTACTGAGCTCAGGCCATCTGCCCACTTCGGCCTCCCAAAGTGCTGGAATTACAGGTGTGAGGCACGACACCTGGCCCTAGCAATATTTTCAACCAACATTTTGGTGTCATCTCCAAAGTGAATCCTGTAGAAATTTGAAAAGAGGATTATAGGAACTCAGGTGATTTCACTTTGAAGTTTCTGACAAGTTTCTTTAGATCCAGCTGTTTGATTTAATACTCACAGCTTGATTTTCTAAGGCCTGTGAGCTACTGGGCCTCTGCTCATTTGCAAGGCTGGTCAAACCCAAAGTGACTACAGGGAGGAAACAGGATTTTGGTAATCCAATGGTTCTCAGCCGGGTAGACTGTGCCCCTAAGAAGGCACCTGGCAATTACTGGAGGTAATTTTTTGATTGTTACAACCGGGGCAGGGGGCAGAGGGTGGAGGTGGGGGCTGCTGCTGGTTAGATGCCTCTAGAGCCTAGGGATGCTGCTAAACATCCCATGATGCACAGGATAGCCCTCCACAACCAAAAATTATCTCATCTGAAACACCAATAGTGCTGAGACTGAGAAATCCTGAGTTAATCTGTGCCTTTATTTCTGCCACACCTATTTTGGCTAAACTGCAGAAAAACCTCATCTTCAGAATGGCCCCAGTCTGCAGGCAGGGAAGGGGACTGAAAAAAATCATTGCCCCGCTGCAATCCCAGGAGCAAGAAGAGTCCTTCATGAATTATCTCACCGTTGGCACACCTGGTCAGACCTGGAACTTTTCCCCAACATGGCTTAACCTGGGAGAAAATCAGGTTTAATAAAAGGAAGATTTCATTTTCCAGTTCTCTGTATCACAACAGAATCCCAAGATGTGCTCACCATGCCTGATGGCTCCAGGGACAGCTCCTGGAAGTTCTTCAGCATGTTGACTGGGATCCACGCACGAGAAACTGTTTCTCCAAAAAATGTCACATGGTACTTAGACTGAAATAAAAGATGGTCCCGTTATGGCCTCCTGTCCTGCTCTCTGCTTTTCTCCTCTAGCCAGAACAGACAGGGAGAATAGGAATTCACCCAGAGGAGGTGCTGGGCCTCACATGCTCCCTCGAAGCCTGACTCATCTACCCTACCCTCATTCCAATTGTTTTTCCATTCTAACCTCAGGAATCCTAGCCAAAGCATATTTGTCAAAACCACTAATCCCCTGACAGTGGATAAATATTTAATTAGACACAAGTTTGTTTCTACTGTATGTGTGAGTACTTATCTCTGTGTTTGTCATCCTAGTAAGGTGTTTTCACTTGCGTCTGCTGGCTATGTCTATGTCTCTAATCTGTACATCTGTGAGGATGGATTTGTTCTTTACTTTGGCCTCGGCTCCTCTAACCCTGAACCAGGAAACTCACCGGCAGAGAATCAAGATGGGAAGTAAAAAGAAAATATTCCCCCAAGTCAGGATCAGATTCTATCATGCCTGGCCACCTAGAGAAGGTAGTTGGGTGTAGGGTACAGAAAAGAAGGGGTTAGATGAACAGAACACAATCTCATCAATGTACATGCACAGAAAAGAGCGGTATGTTTTTGTTTTTTTTCTGAGACAGGGTCTCACTCTGTTGCCCAGGCTGGAGTGCAGTGCTGCAACCATGCCTCACTGCAGCTTCGATATCCCAGGCTCCAGTGATCCTCCCACCTCAGCCTCCTGAATAGCTGGGACTACAGGAACGTGTGCCACCACAGCCAGCTGTTTATTTTTTGCAGAGATGGGGTTCCACTATACAGCCAGGACTTATCTCAAACTCCTGGGCTCAACCAATCCTCCTACCTCAACCTCCCAAAGTGCTGCGATTACAAGCTTGAGCCACTTCACTCAGCCAGCAGCAGTACGCTTTGCAAAAAAAAAAAAAAATGAAAAAAAGAAAAAGAAAAAATCCAAAAAATAGATTCCCATCCCATCAGCCCCCTCTGGTGGTCACTGCTGAATGACTCAGATGAGGAAGGACTTCCACTGATGCACACAGGAGCGCAGAATATACCTAGTGAAGGTATCTTATCCTTCTGAACCATCCCACAATCTTAAGAACAAAATCTTTGACTAGGGACATCTCCAAAGAAGAAACTGTCCCACTTGTCCTTGTTATCTTTACTTTGTATGTCTCAATCTCAATATTTTTATTTTTGGCCGGGCACGGTGGCTCAAGTTTGTAATCCCAGCACTTTGGGAGGCTGAGGCGGGTGGATCACGAGGTCAAGAGAGCGAGACCATCCTGGTCAACATGGTGAAACCCCGTCTCTACTAAAAATACAAAAAATTAGCTGGGCATGGTGGCACGTGCCTGTAATCCCAGCTACTCAGGAGGCTGAGGCAGGAGAATTGCCTGAACCCGGGAGGCGGAGGTTGCGGTGAGCCGAGATCGCGCCATTGCACTCCAGCCTGGGTAACAAGAGTAAAACTCCATCTCAAAAAAAAAAAAAATTATATTTATTTATTTTTGAGATGGGGACTCACTCTGTCACCCAGGTTGGAGTGCAGTGGTGCAATCTTGGCTCACTGCAACCTCTGCCTCCTGGGTTCAAGTGATTCTCCTGCCTCAGCATCCTGAGTAGCTGGGACTACAGGCGTGTGCCACCACACCTGGCTAATTTTTGTTTTTAATAGAGACAGGATTTCACCATGTTGGCCAGGCTGGTCTCAAACTCCTAGGCTCAGGTGATCTGCCCACTTGGGCCTCCTAAAGTGCTGAGATTATAGGCATGAGCCACCATGCCCGGCCATTCTCAGTATTTTTGAATGCCTCAGATCCACCCTCTTCTTTCTACCAGTTGGGGTAGCACTATCAGACCCTTTTTACAGGGAGCTATTACCTCCATGCTGAAACCTCCAGAAAACACTCTCTTTCAAAGCCTCCAGGCTTAGTACTTTATCTTTTCTCTCATCCCATGCTCTAAGGCCAGAACCATTTCAATTACAGATGTTTCCATTTCCTTCCCTCCCTGCTTGAATCTACCTCTCCCAAGTTTGTGAGGGATGCTCTATGTCATAGTGCCATACCAGGGGTAACCGTATTGCTTGGCCCAAATGATGGATCCTGGGACGTAGGAGGCATAGGCCACATCACTCTCAAGCCCCGTCCAGGTCTCCTCAGGAATATCACAGCGATTATACTCCATGTCTGCCAAAAGACAGAAGGAATAAAGGAACAGGAAGACACTCATTGGGAGAAAGAGCTGGATGAGGACAAGAAGGAAATTGATATATGCAGCAGGTGGGACCAAAAGGGCACCTGGGGGATCAGCACGGAGGAAGAATAAAGACCCATGGAGAAAATGCAGCTGGAACCAGTGGAAGTAGGAGTGCTGCCTCTTCATACTCTATACTGTAAAAAGAAATTCCACGCTCCTGCTCACACTCCTGTGTGTCTGACTATGCTCCCATCTATGGAGCACCATGAGATAATTTCTCTAAGACTCTGTTTTCTCATCTGTAAAATAATTGGGCTGGACTAGATCATCATCTCTTCCAACTAGTTTCAAATGTCCTAGAATTCTAAGTATACCAGATCTCTCTCATCTGTTTTCCCCCATATAATCCTATATCCCTCCCTATCCACCAACCCAATATCAATGTAATCAGGATTGACAGGGACAGACCAATGCTCATACGTTTAGCTTCCAGGCCCCTCCCAAGATCACTTTGCAGGGCATCTTCCTCCAGACTTTTCTGCCCAAATTCATCTCCATATGACAGGCAGCTCCTTCCTCTCTCCCAAGCACTACAAAGACCCCCTGGGTGTTAACTGTATTTATGCAGTATTCAATCTAAATGATAAGTTTAGAGAAAGAAAAGGAGGAACAATAAAACCTGAACGAAAACATTTCCAGTCTTTTCTACCTGTGTTCTGGTCACAGGACCAATTATCTGGGAGAACTGAGGGGTCAACGTTCCCACACAGCCGCCTCCATTTCCCACAGTTTGGGAAGGAACACTGGACCCAGACCAGACATTGATCTGTGAGAAGGGAAAAATGAAATAAGAGACTTAAAAATATGCTCTTCCTTTTTTAATTCAACTAAAATCAGCATAACCCTCCCAACTCCCAGAATCACATATAGAGCGACATAAGAGATCAACCAGCCTGATCCCTGACTTGTAAGTGGGAAACCAAGGCTCAAAAAGGTAACATGGTGATAGAGCTGAACTTAGAACTCAAGTCTCATGTCTTAATCTTTTTCCTGTACTAGGCTACTGTGTCTCCTTACCGCAAGGCTGAAACGAATGTTTCTTGTATTGACAGTTCTTAAATTAGAAGGCTGCCTGGCATCTTTCCAGATAGTTAGTGCCTTGTTCTCTGCTGGCATAACACTACTGAGTTCTTCTGAAGGGCTACCCAGCATCTCTTTTGTGCACAACATCCAGAGTTCTTATCCAAATCTCAACTGATTTACCTGTCGCCAAATCACCAAGTTGCAACCTTTAGGACCAACAGTGTCTGAGTTCACTCTTCTCCAAAAGACACAGATTAAGCCTATCACTTCTCCATCATCTATTAACTTTGGGCCCTGCTCAAAGGCCAAGCCTTCCTTTTATCCATTACTCTCCAAACCTCCACCTCTCCTAAGCTGACTCATGTCCCTCAGCCTCTCTTCTCTCCCACCGAAACTCTTCCATTGTGGTCTTGGAAACTCCACTGACTTGAGCAACGAAAAAGTTCACATATCCTCAACCTCATCTCTGAACTTCTATCTCCTTTTTGAAGCCTGGAGACCCACTAACGACGCTGCCCCACCCAAACCACCCCCACCTGCAGCCCTGTAAGTGGAGTCTGTTCCTCTCACACTCCCCATGTCTCTCGAGACTGAAAGCCGGGCCAGCATTATCATTATTCCCATTGCTACTACTCCCCAACTCTTATAAAAACCCCTCCTCCCTTGAGGTCTATGCCATTGGACTATACCTGCCTCTCATCTCCCTTGTAGAGATGCTGGCATCTGATTCAGTCTTCTCCTTTCCACCTCCTGCGTGCCCCACCCAGTCATCTGCAGGAACTGCACACCCTCTGAGCCACTTATCCAAACATCCTCACTACAAAAATGCCCCATCCTTCCACCTCACTTGCTCAAAGACTCCTATAGCAACTTTCATTTTATCTAGCTCTCCAACTGACTGCCCCTACCATCCTTTCCATCTGGAAGCAATTTCCATTCTTCCCTCTGTTCCACCCAGGTTTGATTACTTGACACGTACTTGGATTCTCTTGTAGACACCTTCAGCTCCCTTTCCCACAGTCCTTCCTTGCACCCAGATAGCAAAACACCAACTGGTATGAATCCTCTCTCCACCTTTTCTGAGCCTACACTCAAGCAATTGAGTTAAGAGAGAAAAATCACGTAACAGACACATAGGTATCACTATATATTCCCTATTTAACATTATCAACCAATATATTTCTCTAGTAGTTCACTCTCTCCCACTGCCAAATTTTACCTTAAATACCTGATCATAAGGGATGGCCCCTAATCCTATCCTTCCAAAATCATCCCTCAGAAAAGCTGATTTGCATATGGTTCCTTTCAAAATATCACATATAAGAGAGAACTTTCACAACTACTTTTTTTTTTTTTTTTTGAGACACAGTTTCGCTCTGTTGCCCAAGCTGAAGTGCAGTGGCACAATCTTGAGTCACGGCAATCTCCACTTCCCAGGTTCAAGTGATCCTCCCACTTCAGCCTCCCAAGTAGCTGGGACTACAGGCATGCACCACCACACCCAGTGAAGTTTTTGTATTTATTGATAGAGGTGGGGTTTCGCCATGCTGCCAAGACTGGTTTTGAACTCCTGGGCTCAAGCAATCCACCCTCCTCAGCCTGCCAAAGTGCTGGGATTACAGGGGTGAGCCACCACACCCAGCCTCAATTACCTTATCTTGAAGAACAAAGTACTGGTTGGGAATAATGTGTTAGTCTTAAGTGACAGTTGCCAATGATAATTTTGGATGTTTACTGAGATGGCCTAGCAAGACTAGAAAAAAAAAGTAAGAAGAGAGGACAGGAATCATATAAATTAATATAGATAAATAATACAAATTATTAGCTGTTAAAGCAGTAAGTATTCATAAGAAAATGAGTAGGAAAAAATGACTACAATGATATGGAACTGGAAATTTATGGCTTGGAATGATATTGTTAACAGCACTGTACTTTTTTAAAAAAGTTTCAAGTAACCTAAAGGAACAGGTAATATGCTCTGGAAAACTGTGTCTGGTGCCCAGATGTGGCTCTATTATAATAAAGACTGATGTCACAGACACACGTTAAGAGGATTTCACTTGACCACTCATTCTTGAAACACTAGCCTCCTAGGTTCTGTGATGCCTCATTCCCCTGCCACCCTCCCCACCATTTTTGGGCAGCTTCCCCCGAGTCTCCTTTGCTGGGTTCTCCTTGTTCTCCAATCTCTAAATGTCAAGGGTACCAAAGCCCAGTCATGGGCCTTCTCTCCCCATAATACACTTTCTTCTGAGGCAAGCTCACCCATTCCCATGGCTTTGAAATCTATTTTCATACCTGACAGCACACAGCTGTTTACTTACAGCCTCTGTTCTGGGCTCCAGATTTCTAAGCCATTTTGTTCTTGACATCTCATCTGGATGTCTCACAAGGATCTCAAGCCTAAACATACCCAAACCTGAATGCTTGATCTTATCCCACAAATTTGTTCTTCCTCTACTCTTTCCCATTTTCTTTCACTTAACTATTCAAGCCAGAAACCAATCATCCTTGACATATCCTCCCTGCCTCCAGCCTTCCAATATCTGATTCATTACCAACTTCTAACAATTTTACCTCCAAAACATACCTTAAAACCATCCACTTTTCTCTTTCTCTACTTTCATCATCTTAATCCATTTTATTTTTATCTTTTTTTAATATTTATTTTTTTGAGATAGGGTCTTGCTCCACTACCCAGGCTGGAGTGATATGGTATGAACATAGCTCACTGCAACCTCAAACTCCTGGGCTCAAGTGATCTTCCTGCCTCTGCCTCCCAGAGTGCTTGGATTACAGGTGTAAACCACTGTGCTCAGCCATCATCCTAATTGAAGCCACCAAAATACCTAATCCTACTATTAACTTCTTAACTGGTCTACTCTTGTCTTCTCATACTCCATCTCCAATTAATCACCAAAGGCTCCTTTTAAAACAATAATTTGAAGATGTCACTTCCCTGGTTAAAACCCACCAGTGACTTCCCACTGTACTTAGGACATGTTCACACTGTACACGGTCTTTGACCTAGCCATTGCCTCCCTCTTTCCAGTCATCCAGAGCCACTTTCCCACCTTGCCTCCCTTTGCTCTCTGAACTCTGCAATCACACTGGCTTTCTTTTAGTATCTGGAACATGCCACACTTTACCCTACCTAAAACTTTTTCTTCACTTGGATAACTTCTATTCTGCCTTCAGGTTCCAGATGAAATACCGTTTCCTTAGAAATGCACTCCCTGACTGGCCCAATCTTACTTCTTCTCATGACACTCTGCTCTTTTCCTTCCCTGTACTTCATGCAAATTGTATTCAAATACTCCTTCCTGCCGCAGAAGCACTCACCTCTCCTTGGTAACTATAACAGAAAGAATGGTTTATTTATATAGCAGGAGGCTGATAAATCCACAATCACAATTCAACTCACAAGCACCACCTAGAGGGTGAAACCCCATCTGCCTGCCTAAGATCTAGTCCATGCAGTAATTTTTTTTTTCAATTTTTTAAAATATAAATTCACTTTTCTTTTCTTTTTTATAGAGACGGGGGTCTCACTATGTTACTCAGGCTAAACGTGAATCCTGGGCTCAAGCAAGCTTCCTGCCTCAGCCTCCCAAAGTGCTAGGATTACAGGCGAGAGCCACTGTGCCCAGCCCCTTGCAGTAATTCTAAGAGGTACAAGAAATAGAGCAACACAAATCTAATGACACCAATTTATCTGAGCTAACCAGACATCAGGTCAGTATCCCAAAAGTTCTCAAAAAGCACATTTGAATTTATATAGTCACAGAAAACCAAAAGAAAAACCTTTTAGTTTCCTTTTTGACTCTACCTAGAAAGAAACTCCCTTAGGGTAGTATGAACTCCAGACCACCCGGTTGTTCAAATTAGACTTATACCTCAGTGCCTTATGATACCATGTTATTATAACAAGAGGAATGGTTTATTGACCTGGACTATCTTGTTTGATGCCTGCATAAGCCTGGTTATTTTTTTGTTCTTGTATCAATGAGGGTCTCACTGTGTTGCCCAAGCTGGCCTCAAACTCCTGGCCTCAAGTGATCCTCCTGCCTTGGTATTTTTGAATTTTTGAACATACTAGTATATTCTATGATCTACTTTATTTCTTGTCATAAAATTTCCCATTATCACCTTGGTTATTTCATGTAATATATTTATTATCTAATATATTAAACCTATAAATTCTCTTAAGGAAGTGTTGTCAGTTTTGTTCCTCACTGTATTTTGGCCTCTGGTGCAACACTCGGCACAAAATATAAGACACTAGTAACTGTTGTTAAAAGAATAAATGAGTTCATATCTATCCTTACCATGCCTCGATCTAATCTTGAAGGCTAAAGATGATGAATAAATCCTCTGAATCTCTTTCCACTCCCATCTCTTCAATCTCGCCCTCTCTATAATTTTCCCTCAGCATGTAAGTATGCTCAAGTCTCTCTCTTTTAAAGTTACAAAATAAAAAGGCCTCCCTCAACTCTGCACCCATTCTTTTTAATCTACTATTTTCTCCCTCTTAAACTAATTGAAAAAGTGTTTATTCCTCAACCAGCTATAAGCTGCCATTCATGTTTACCAACCCTTTCGGTAATAACCAAACCTCTAACAGTCTCCTCCGTGATATCCTTGAGCTTATGTTTATCCTCTTTGACTTCTTTATGATGGCATTTGAATGGCTGAGCATCCCTCTTTCTTTCTTTATTATAACAACAGGAATGGTTTATTGACCTGGACTACCTGGCATCTCTTCTCCCCTGACATCTGTGATACCATTCCTGATTTTTCTATTACTTTTCTGACCATGTCTTCGTTTTCTTCCTGGGATACATCTGAAATGCTTTGTACATAGTAGGGACCCAACAACTATGGATTATGTGAATGACTGAATGAATGAAATCATTCTTTTAGCAGCATATTTTAAAACAAACAGCTGTGAGGGATATATTATATTTGGGGCTGGGTGCAGTGGTTCACACCTGTGATCCCAGCACTTTGGGACGCTGAGGCAGGTAGATCACAAAGTCAGGAGATCAAGAACATCCTGGCCATGGTGAAACCCCATCTCTACTAAAATACAAAAAAATTAGCCAGGCGTGGTGGCATGCGCATGTATTCCCAGCTACTCGGGAGGCTGAGGCAGGGGAATCGCTTGAACCTGGGAGACGGAAGTTGCAGTGAGCTGAGATTGTGCCACTGCACTCCAGCCTGGTGACAGAGCAAGACTCCATCTCAAAAAAAAAATTATATTCTTTGCAGAGTTTTCTCTAACATCCTAACCCTGCCTCTCTGCTCTATCTCAAGCTTTCAGGCCAAGTAGGTTTTCCAAACGAGCTGAACTCACCAAAACCACTTATCTCTCCTTTTTGCTGGTCCCTGATCTGGGAATGATCCTGAACTGTTTTCTCTAGTTGGTCTTTCTGTCTGAGCTCATGTCCACTTTGAGTTTTCTCCACCTTCTCATCTCCTGGGAAGAAAAAAGAAAACATGGGGTGGGGAGATGAAGAAGGCAATCTTTGTGGATAGTAAATGTCAGTGAAAGAAGGAAGAAGAATCACAGCCTAACAGTTTCAAGACTTGGGCTGAAAATTCTCAGCCTGCCTATGGTCCCATTACCTAATTTCCCAGAGCAAGTGCTTGAGCCAGGCTTCAAAGCTGTACTTACCAGCTTCCTTCTTTCTTTTGCTTAAAGAGAGTCTACTGGATTTCTTCTCAGAGGGTGCAGGATCTGATTGGCCTAGCTTAGACGTCCTTATCTCAGGGACAGCTTCACCTTCCCAAGACACTGAAATCTCTTGAGTATGTGGTACCTCCTCTCTGAAAATGAGATTTTATTTTAATGAAAGGTAAAAAGAAAGCAACTGCAGAATTCTTCTTTTGAAAAAACCCAAAAGTAAAAGACAGACAAATCCTAGGCTCTGTAAGGCCTCTGAGGTCATTTCATAAATCTACTTGCCTATTTTTCCCAAATCAAACAGGCATCTTTCCTGAGCTGAGAGAAATCTATAGAAATATGATAAATGACCAGAAAGACAGACAAACAGATAGAGAGACTGACCGACCATGATTTACCAATGTGTAGTCCATTCTGTGTTCACCTTGCCTCACTGAGATAAACTTACCCATCAGCATTGTCAGTATCAGTAGCAGAAGCAGTAATTCCTGGCTCCTCGTCTGACTGAGTAGATACTATGGGCTGGGCACAAGAAGTCTCTGCAAAATCAAGGCCAGATCCCGTCCCTCCCAAAACAAAATACTATAAGCAGAGAAGCAATAAAACAATCATTCTATTATTCCCTAACATTTTCATTCAAGTGTCTTCTCCCTGCAGCCTGAAAGAGCCTACCTTTGACCTCCGGTCATATCACAGAACTTTAGCTATTTAAATGTTCAGGAAAAACTACAAATATATATATATCTTTCTGTAAGCCTTTCCAGATTGATGTGCCTCATTCCAGGATGGTCAGGTAATAATTTTGGGTACACAAAAAAATTATAGGCCGGGCACGGTGGCACACACCTGTAATCCTAAGCACTTTGGGAGGCCAAGCGGGTGAACTGCCAGAGCTCAGGAGTTTGAGACCAGACTGGGCAATATGGTGAAACCCCATCTCTACTAAAATACAAAAAATTTGCCAGGCATGGCAGCATGCACCTGTAGTCCCAGCTACTCAAGAGGCTGAGGCAGGAGAATTTCTTGAACCCAGAAGGCGGAGGTTGCAGTGAGCCAAGATCACGCCACTGCCCTCCAGCGTAGGTGACAGAACATGAATCCGTCTCAAAAAAAATAAGTAAACAAAAGAAACAACAACAAAACCCCATAATGGCTTGAAAAGTTTGGTAAGACTATATTTAAATTCTGAAGTCAATGTAATCTACTTTTTCTAAAATATATGTACCCTTTATCTAAGGTGGTTTATAGTCCTGTTGATAGAAGATGAAGTATTTTTAAAATATGTTGAAGTCTCATCTAATATTACCTTACTTAGAAGATGGGAGAGAAGGAGAGAAGCTGTAAGATTTAACTCTACCTTCTCAGGTCTAACAGTCACTCTGCCTAACTAAAACCCTTTTTCTCTTACTACATGCCATACCCAAGCGCTCCTGAAGGGACTTCTGCAGCACAATCTGGACAATCTCCTCAAATTCTGCATTGGTAAGACTTGACTTTTCCTGCAGAGACAAGGGTAGGGGAGGAAAACCACTTAATCTGTCCATGGTTTTCCCCTCTGAACAGTCAGGGAAGCCTCCTTTAGATGAGGCAGTAAAGTTTGGAAGACTGAAAGCATGCAGTCAGCATACCTAAAGAGGCCATGTACTCTATCCCAGATCTCCTGGGAGTAAATGAGTCAAAGGAAACAGAAAAGTGTATAACATCTCTTTCCACTTCTACTCCCATCTCTAACCCACCTCATCTCATTATTTCCTGCTAAATTCTTTCATCAAAACATTTTTGACCTCTCTGAGNCAAACAAAACAAAACAAAACAAAACTAGTATTAGTATTAGAACTCTTGAAGGAATTCTATTAGAGGAACACTATGAGCAAAAAAAAAAAAAAAAAAAATAGAAAGAAAAAGAAATAGAAAGAAAAAAAATAGAAAAGGAATACAAGTAACCTGAAACTACAGGGTATATTTTCCCAACGTGAAAAGACTGCTTATTTAGCCTGAGCCAGGGGCAGGGATGAGGAAATGTCCTACCAGAGCCCACCAATGTGACTGATACCTTTTCTTTCTTCTCTGCTTGCTTGTTGTTTTGTGCCTTTCTTTTTTTTTCCTGGCCCCTGCTGGAAGCATTGTTTGTGGTTGCTTTTTCCTCCTTCTTTAACCTGGCCTTTGGCAGGCTTATCCTGGCCTCTGTCTCTGGGGAACTGATCCCCAGGGTCTCCTTTTTGGGTGAGTTAGGGCTAAAAGGTATCAGGTTGTAAGATTTTTGTGCAGGTGGGGCAAAGATTCTCTTTGGTCCCTTTCCACATTCTGAAAGAAATGTGATCAAGTGGAATTTGTGAAACATACAATCTAACAGAGATTGCCAAACATTACCCTTTGACTGGCCATAACAGAATTATATGGAGAGAGCTTTTATCAAATTCAGATTCCTGGGTTTCTTGCTGCCTACTCCACTCCCCAGCCCTGAGATGCTGATGAGGTAGTCTGACATGAGAGGCCTAGCAATCTGGAACTTTACAAGGCTAGTTGATTCTGATATGCTTCCAGGTTTGGGAACTACTAAGTCAAAGGTGATAAATATAAACATGCAGGAAGCTGAATTATCCAAATGTGAAACTGTATAATTTGCTCATTTTTACTTTAGATAAAATTTTATGGAAAATTAAGAACAATTTTTTAAAAACTAGTCAAAATCTACAAATTATTCACAGCTCTTATGCCATCTCCTCAATAAAAATTATAATGATCCTCCCAGGTATATCTTTCTTCTGAGCTTCCTTAATACTCTGCACATAGCTGGTGGCATTTACCACATTCAACTTTATAATAGGTATTTAGATGCCTTTTCTCTCCCTATGAATTCATACATTCCTCGAGCAGGACTGTTTTTAAGTCATATTTCTTTCATTCAAAGCATCTAGCAGAGTAGTAATTTCACCAGAGTGGGCACAGAATATAATGGGACCTGAACCATCCTTTGGTGGAAAGGATGTCCAAAAGGAGAAAAATGAGAGAAATGTAGAAAGTGAAGGTCCCTCACTCTTGACTCACCTTCTTTATTCTGCAATGTTGTCATCATTCAGCTTAGAAACTATACTTTGTGTACCTCTGTTAGAAAAAAGAAATTAACCGCTAAGACTCTAATTAAACAAGATTTTAAACTCCCTTCTCTCCGTCTTGAGGTCAAAACCTGTTTTAGACCCATGAACTATGCTTCTGCATCCTTGACCTCCTCTGTGGTGCCAATTACATGCCTCTGTGGTACAAATTACATGCCAAGGAATAATGAGAGCTACTGTTTTAAAGATTATCAACAATCAAGAGTGGATATGGTAGCTCACACCTGTAATCCTGGCACTTTGGGATGCTGTGGCAGGCAGATCACCTGAGCCTAGGAGTTTAAGACCAGCCAGGGCAATACAGCGATATCTCGTTTCTACAAAAAATAAAACAAATTAGCCAGTGTGGTGGCACACACCTGTAGTCCCAGCTACTCGGGAGGCTAAAGTGGGAGGATCACATGAACCCAGGAGTCAGAGGCTGCAGTGAGCCAAAATCATGCCCCTACATCTCAGCCTGGGTGACAGAGACCCTGACTCAAAAATTAAAAATAGATAAACAAATAAATATTAGCAGCAATCCTTAGTGTTTTATGTGCCTAGAACCATGTCCAACATAAGGCAGGCAGCAGAAGTGGTAGTGGTAGCACCAGAAGCATAGGTAGTAGTAGAGCAGTGATTATAGGGTATGAATAATCCTGGCAGTTAAAGAGAGTTTTCTTCAGAGGGATAGCCTCATTTCATAAACCTCTCCTAAACACATAATTACATAATTTGGTAATTCTCTGACCTGACTCAGAGGTCTCTGTGCATAGAGAAGCCCCACTTTTAACATCATTATGATATTTATTTTCCCTTTCTTAGATCCTCAGTCCAATCAATTTTCCAATGTACTGGATTCTACCAATCTCCAGTCATAGCTCAGAAATATTTGGTAACCAGCACAGGTCCCCAGAGAATTTAATATCTTCTTCCTTACTCTCCCTTAGAATCTGATAATGAAAAATTAAATTAGTGCCTTCTTTGATAGTCATAGTTCATCTTCAGCAATCTACTCACAGATGTTCCACACGACATCAATATGTTTCTTGATTACTACTGACACTGTGACTAATGGTAACGGCTAACTCTTATTGAGCACTGACGATATTCTTTACCCTTTATGTAGCATTCCATTTAATTCTCACAACAGATCTATGATGTGGATAACATTTTACACTTGGGAGAAATTCAGGCTTAAAGAAAATTAAAGATATTAAGTCATTGATAAGTAGTAAAATCAGGATTAGAACCTGTTTGATTTCAAAGTTTGTGCTAACGGCTGGCTACGTGACATCCTAACAGTCTAATTTAGTACTTCACTACCATTTTGCTATCACAGAACACACAGAAAACATACATTAAAAGCGTATACTGAAGCACATAGAAAATGACATTTCCAGGTACTCTGGGGGTAAAAGAAACAGGCAGAAGGAATTAGTATCTACACAGCTATAAGCTATTTGTGACCCAATAGTGTGCCAAGGCTCACCTGGGGACAACCCAATATTTTTATTTTCTAATCCTTGGCACAATCCAATATTTTTATTTTCTAATTTATACTTTCCCACTACTATTTCCACACAGCTTTTAAAAAAATTTTTTCTTTCCAACCTTTATTTTACGTTCAAGGGATATATGTGCAGTTCTGTTACATAGGTAAATTGCATGTCATGGGATTTAGGGCAGAGATAATTTTGTCTCACAGGTAATGAGCATTGTATCCAATAGATAGTTTTTCAGTCCTCACCCTCCACCCTCAAGTAGGCCCCAGTGTCTATTGTTCCCTTCTTTGTGTCCATGTGTATGCAATGTTGAGCTCCCACTTATAAGTGAGAATATGCAGTATTTGGTTTTCTATTCCTACGTTAATTCACTTAGGAGAACAGCCTCCAGCTCCATCTATGTTGCTGCAAAAGACATGATCTTGTTCTTTAACACAGCTGCATAGTATTCTGTGCCCACTCAGCTTTCAGAAAACTGTCTCTGATTTTATGTTAACCTTAACTTCTTATAGCCCTTCTACCCAGTTTTCTTAGGCTTAAGTGATATACGCCATTCTTACTTTTATAACCATTATAAAAAGCATTACAGCTCTGGGAAGACCTTTAGGGATAATAAAGCCCCATCTCCCCTTTCTACAGATGGAAAAAAAATATGCTAAGAAAGGTTAAGTGGGCCAGGCGCAGTGGCTCACGCCTATAATTCCAGCACTTTGGGAGGCCGAGGCAGGTGGGTCAGGAGTTCAAGACAAGACTGATCAACATGGTGAAACCCTGCCTCTACTAAAAAATACAAACATTGCCAGGCGCGGTGGCCAAGTTGGGTGGATCACGAAGTCCAGAGTTTGAGATCATCCTGGCCAACATAGTGAAGCCCTGTCTCCACTAAAATACAAAAATTAGCTGGGCATGGTGGCTCACACCTGTAGTCCCAGCTACTCGGGAGGCT